AAATGGCAATTATTTGTATTTTAAGAATTTTCCATTCAAAGTACAGAAAGTCACCACTTCTAGGGTTAGTCCTACATTATTCCTACAGCCAGAAAGAAGCGACAAATCACATCTGGTTCTAAAGAACACAGGCAGCGACTATCTTTTGAGTGGCAGAATATCACTAAATCCCACACTCCGGGTGTTTAGGGTTTAAAAAAGGTGTCCTAATGAACATTTAAAAGAATCACATCAGTAAGATTCATCCTCTGGGAGCAGTGAATAACAAACAGGTGGCTGAGTTAAATGAGCCTACATCAGATATATGGATCAAAAGCCCTCTAGCTACTGCAGGAAAACACTGCTGAAGTAGCGAAAAGTAAAAAATGCATCTTATACAGAATGAGAGCCCTGAACGACATAACAGCTATTATTATCGTGTAGCTGTGATAACTATTTCATGTGATGGTGTTGTAGCTGTTGGTAAACGTTGATCCAGGGCTCCCCACCCAGCCTCCAAAGACCATTCCAGAGTGAACACTAATCAAACGGTTGCTGTGCTCACGAAGCTTTAATCAATGCTTTTATTAATGGTTGACTGCTTACGACAGAAAGACAAGCCAGCTGCAAAGATATTTCACACCCTAATCAAGTTGAAAAATGGCTATTCCCCCACTAATGGCTTTGCCTACAAATATGTCACTGTTAATTTAAAAGCTTTTTATCCAGGCGAGCGATGGTGCCACAGTTATTTTTGGTCAATTTTCAAAGGAATGGTGCAAATGGGATTGTCATATACCCAGGTAGCATGTTGACTGTAAAATAGTGGGGTGTCTAATAAATGTTTTGCACTGATTTATCATTAGGATTCAGAATAAATGACCACCAAGAAGTTAATCATAGTTATTTGAATGTACAGTGAGACCGATTTGGACATGTCCTGCTGGCAGGAGTCCCTCTCGGTGACACAAGACATGCCAGAGGGAATGCAGGCTGTGCTGGAAATGTCTTGTGGTTCCACTGTAGGAGCTGGTGGAGACAGGGCAAATTTGAGCTTCTGTCTAAGGTTGCATCATCTTAAAAAGTGGAATAATAGCCCAGCACCTGCCTGGCCTCTCATCAGCACCAGTTGAAGCAAACAACTTCCTCTAAAACAGCCTATTTTCATGAAAAACCCAGTAATCTTGTTTTGTTTAACACATTTGGAGTGGTCTCTGGCATAAATGAATGCCTTGAGAGTGGATCTCTGTGGGAATAAAGCTCTCCTGCTACTGTTTCAGGAGGTAGAAGTTAGGCAGAGCAGACAGGATCAGAAGACAACAGGGTTTTGATTTTTTTTTCTGATATTTGGACATCGATCGCCTCTGACAATAACACGACTCTACCACACATTTTATTTTAATTTTTTAACATTGATGGTTTATCTCCACAAGAAACACATGCCTGAAGGAGTTCTGCTGTGTGGTGGAGTTGCTAATGCAGTTAGCTTCTTCAAGCCAAGATGTTCTCTTTCTGATTGGTGATTGTAGTGGTTAAGAACCTCTCCTTACTGCTGACAACTGTTTGACTCCCTGATGAAGGCTGAAAGGCCATATGTGACGTAGCCATTCCAATAAAGGCTTTTTAACTTTTTCTATTTGAGAGTGCCTTGGAGTTTCTCTTGTTTTTTTTACCGAATATTCCCATCCAAAGAGCACCTCAAAACAACTTATGTTGAGTCCAGGAGGTACTCTTTATAAAAGTTCTTTATAATCCAAGACATTCTCTGCTGTTTCCTGGACGCTAAACCAACAACAGCCTTCCTCATATGAAGCCAAGATGGGTGAGCCCATGAATGATAACATTTCAAAGGAACACGCTAGTTTTGGCTTGCTTTCAGCGTCCCGTAGTGGCAGTTTTATTTCACCGTCATTAAAACTAAACTTTTGAACTCTCCTTTGGGCCATTCCCATCTTTACCGGGTCGGCCCGAGCCGGGTAGCGTAGGTTGTTTACATATCTGGGTGGCCTGGTATTTTTCCGGGCCAACCAAGGCTCATTCTCAGCCCTCTTCTCGAGGGGGTCTGCTTCAGGCCGACCAAGGCCATCACACCCACTGCTGACAGCAAATTCACACCTTCCATTAGAGCAAGCCTCTGATTGGTGGGTAGAATCAGCCCACATGGGCTCAAGACAAGGATGTGTGGAATCAACCGGGCCAGGCTGGGGCCGACTGGGGCTACCCGGCCCGGGCCGACCCGGTACAGATGGGAATGGCCCACTTGCTGTGCGCTCATGTTTTTAAAACCTCGATCTAACAGCTGAAACATCTTCTCAGCTTTCATTAGTTTCTACAGGAGCGGCTCATCTTTAAATTCAACAAATCAGCTGTGTTCATGATCTAAAGCATGCTGGAAATGTGCTGGAAGAACACTCCAGCACTAGCATGTTGGCTAGCCACTTTACTGTTGACTAACAGAGTTCCTGGTAAATAGTATGACCAAGACTCTGAGAGGAGGAATTGTGCATTTTAACATTTACAAAGGATATTATATGTGTACTGAGTATATTGTTAAAAGATTCTTAGATTCCAGAGAACTATTTGCTTAAAGGTCAAACTGTGGGACATCTGTTGGACACATGTGACCTTTAAGCCTTCAGGAAGCACAGTACAAGAAACTTTTCCCCTACATGTTCAATAAAGCCATGTGGGCATGAGTACCTTTGTAGGATTCACAGTTTTGTTTTATTTATTTCATTTATTTGGTCAACCCACAGGTCCTCCCTTCTTTCCCTCCACATTTCTTTTTTTATTACACACAATCTTCAGCAAATAAACTTTTTTGCTCTTTAGCAGACCGGCCTCCTCAATTATTGTGACTGTTATGTTGCTTCCCCCACACTCTAGACTGGAGGGAATGTAACAGGAGGGTTAAAAGGTAAGCCATGTAAAACAAATGTGTTTTAAAAAAATATGTTTATTGTTTTTGCAATTTGGAGAACGTCCCAATTTTACTTAAAATGCATTTTGTATTTGAGCCTGTTTAAAAATAATATATGTGATCTTTCAGTTAGGGTAGACCGAGCTAGCACTGGGTGGTGCACACAAATTAGGATTCAACAGTTGTTTGAGTTCAAAACTGATTCAGTTTCAGAAATTCTGTCCATCAACTGAATTATTAGTGACATTTTAGAGTGTGTATAAATCAATTCAAGTTTATTTATATAGCGCCAAATCACGACAAGAGTCGTCTCAAGGCACTTCACATAATAAACATTCCAATTCAGGTCAGTTCATTAAGCCAATCATTAAAAAGTTTCCTATATAAGGAACCCAGCAAATTGCATCGAGTCATTGGCCGTGTTCGAGCTGAGCTGCGCCTCGCCTGGAAAACAGACGAGAGCAAATGGAAGCAGCAGGGGGAGTGGCTGAAAAACGGCGTTCAAGTCGGACAGATTTCCCTACGCGTGTAGCTCGGGGGTGACGATGGCTGAAGATATCGCGTTAGAGTTCATACTTGTTTAATTATTTATTTTAATTCTGGTGCCTGTTAGCAGCTGAAACACATCCTCACGTGCTTGTGGATATAATATATTGTATATGGAGACCTGACTGTAATAATAAGTAAAGGTTATCAGCTGTAGGTTTAGTGTGCTCATAGGAAACGTGACAAAAGAACACAAAACACATTTCTCTTTATGGACTATACAGTTGTCATCATCAACGTTACATGATTTACAGAATACATGTGACCAACTAACATTTCTCATTCTACCACCGGATGTGTGGATCAAAATATGAACCAATCAGATGTTAGATCAGGTGAGAGCCAGGCGTTTCCCGTCATCCTCTAGGTTTTGCAGCCGAGGGAGAGCAACTGCAGCGCCTTGCTCCAAAATCTGCATCCGCCTTGATCTCACGAGGATATCGTTGCCTACGTATGCATGACGTCAGAGCAAGTCGGCGTCAAGTCGGACACAAATCTAACCGGCATGCACTGCTCGCCGATCACCGCTGATCTAATCCGCGCAGAACTGGCTCATCTCGAACACAGCCACTGACTAGTGTCAGTGACTTTACAGCAATCCTCATACTAAGCAAGCATATAGCGACAGTGGAGAGGAAAACTCCCTTTTAACAGGAAGAAACCTCCAGAGGATCCTGGCTCAGTATAAGCAGCCATCCTCCACGACTCACTGGGGATCGAGAAGACAGACACACACACACACACACACACACACACACACACACACACACACACACACACACACACACACACACACACACACACACACACACACACACACACACACACACACACACACACACACACACACACACCCACACACCAAGTAATGTTTCTATGGTTGCATTGTGAAAAATTCTATTTGGTGAGAGATAAACTTTATTTTATTTATCCTGGTGAATCTATAATTAAATGGGTAAACTAGTAGTAGCACATCCAACGTCAAGGAAAGTAAAGTGTTATTATCAGCAGAGGGAGAATGTTTAAGTGGTTAGCAGCAGTGTTCAAGCCGATGGCCCCCTCCATGAGGCACCACAGCTCAGCAGAACATCATTGTAGCTTCTTCTGGGGAGAAAAACACTTAGAGAAAAAATAAAGTTAACAGCTGAAATTGCAGGAAACAATACAGTTAAAGTAGGAGACATCTAATTATCAGCTGACCATGACCCCTACATATCAGCATCGGTATGAGCAATAGAAAAAAAACATGATCGGTCAACCTTTAATTTCAGTCCATGGGTTTTGGAGACACTATTCTACCCTTTCTACTTACAGTCATACAGTGCAAAAGCCAATCCTTATTGGTGCTCATTTCATTAATTAGAATTTATCGTTGTTGTTTTTTTATAATAACAAGATCTTGATTAATTCATTAAATTGCTTTTTGAGTATAGCGGTCTTCATTCCAGCATGCTATATCAGTTGACAAACTTCAGGATCCAATCTTCTTATTTTTGACGCAGTCACTTGTCTTCTCCAAAATTCAGTCCAACAATCACTTTGCGGCACAGCCTCGTGTTGTTTTACGTTTTATTAATAGCAACATCAGAGTACTAAATGTACAGAGGACGAATCCAGTGAGAATCGCATTTACAGTGCTTGCAAATACAGAGCTTAGTAGTACAAGAGTAACCAAATCAAAGTCACCTGGAAATTGAAACATTTACCAATAACTACAAAAAGAAGAGATGTGGCTCATAAGACACAAAACAAAAGTTTTACAACGTTTAGTCGTCACAGAGACAGACTGGAGTCCCTTTTTTAAGATATTTTCGGAGGTGTGTGTGTGTGTGTGTGTGTGTGTGTGTGTGTGTGTGTGTGTGTGTGTGTGTGTGTATAGTCATAGGTCTTATACAAAAGGTAACAGAGGTACTCATTGATATATTAAACACAAATATAAAAAGTTTAAGAGTCACAAAGTACAAACTTTTTATTTTTATGGCGACAACACAACTGGAGTCATTTTCCTTTGTTGTTGTTATGAAATGAAATCATAATTCAGCTTCAGTGAAAAAACCACATGTGGAAAAAGTCCCCTCTTCCCTAAAAATAAGAGCTAAACATGCTTAATGTTCTCATCCCTGTGTTGTTTAGTTATTAACACTTTGATTTTGACTTTCAGGGAAATGGGCGACCAAGTCTTCATTTACTCAACTGCTCTTCAGTTCTGCCTCAGATTCCTTCGACGTGGCACTCGTTCAGGTCTAAGTGTCGTTGCAAGGCATCTTACAGCGCTGGAAGCCTTTTTGAATCAAGCTGCAGATTTGGGTCATGTTCCTACTTGCCCTCTAGCTGGGTGGATTATGAGAAAGTAGAGGATGCTGGAAACAAAATGCTTTTCTCTCTCTCTGTCTCTCTGGTCTTTGACTATGTGGATTAGCACTGAAAGTGGTTTAGCTCTTCTGAATAGAAAGAAAAGTAAAAACATGACCCAAGCAGAGTCAAAGCCCTCCGCTGTAAATACAGTAAGCGCACAGTATGTGATTTTCCTGAAAAGACGAGGAAAAACCGAGTAAGGAGCTAAAGTTTCCTGACAGCTAAGGATAATGATTCAGTAAGATTAATAGTCAGATCTAACATATTCCTCCTCTCGTACAGTCTTACCTCATTGAGCACCCTATTGACTTTGACAAAATTTAAACCCCTCACTTGTCACCATCAATGCCATGTGTGGAAAATGTTTCTTGGCTAACAAGACACCAAAAAGACTATAATGAAGGTGAGTCAATTCATTGATTCCTTTCATGGTAATGCTTCAAACAATATAACCGAGGCCAAAAAAACCCTAGACCGTGATATATTCAGCCAACATCGAATTCAAAGAACACATCAATGAGTTACACTCTGTTTGTCTGACATGCAACAGGAAGCACAGGACTCGTAAATATTCCTTTTGTTTCATCTCAACACAAGAGCCTCCTGATTTAGTTTTATAAGCTGCTGAAGAGATGGAAACAGGGGCTACAAAACACTCGATTGATGTCAGCAGGGAATGCACCCAGAGGTGGTTTGTAGAACATGATCTGACTGGCCACACGAGCCGTTTTCCTTCCAGGGACAAAATACAACCCGTATGAGCTGTTGGGAGAGGAAAACTGACATGTTAGGATTTCTCTATATATATTAGCTTTCAGACAGAGGTGTAAAAAATGATGGTGGTGAATCTCCATGTTTTAAAACATTCTTTCACTAAGGAAGTCCTTCACTGAGAAACCATTTTTATGTATTTTTTTTTTAAATCAAGGAGTTTATTGTGCTGGCTGAACGTGAAACTTAAGTCCTACAACTATTTCCTGCATTACCCTCTGAGAGGAGATAGAAGGTGAAACGCTTAGATTTGAAAAGCTTGCCCACTCTAAAGCCTAGTTTATGCTTCGGCGCCAGCTCCTAGGGAGAAACGCACACGCATTGACAGACGTTTTGCTTCGTCTCCTGGGGAGCATTGCAAAGCAATTCCCCGCCGGGACAACAGGGGGCGTAGTTCTTTGGTATCCTGTCATGTATGTGGTCCAAGGTCGTACATTTACTATTGTTTTTTTATTGTGTTTTTTTTTCTGTATTTCAGATACTTTTGTAACATTTGTCCATCATTTGACACATTTGTCCCTCATTCTTCTTCACCTCTTCATGCGCTCGCCACCTCTAAACCCATGTTTCCTGTCATTTCCCTTTACGAATAAAACACTTGCACGTATCTTTTTCACTCCTGCAGTCACGGGTGAATAAAAGTATATTTTTAGAGTTTTTCCACAAGGTTTTCTTCAAGCTGCTCCATTTCTGCCACTAGATCTCTTTGGCTCTCTTTATTTTTTTGAGAGCAAAATGGAGGTGCTATTGACGTAAGCAGCGTCCTGACCAATCACGAGCTTCCGTTCTATGTCTCGTTTGACAAATGTTTAGAAAAGGGGGCTAGACTCCGTCGGTCCGCCTGCTGGAGAGCCCTTGCAAGGATAGATATGATGTTGTGTGTCTTCGTACCGACGCAGACACATAAACTAGGCTTAAGTCAGGCTGTCGCTTGGACTAACCCAAATCGGCTCAAGATGGGGAAGGCTGTTGTTTTAGCTTACAGGAAACAGCAAAGAACATCTCAACTAGTAGAAGCTAACCGTTAGCATTATCAACTCCACCACACAGCAGAACACCTCCAGGCTTGTTTTATTTATGGAGATGAAACATAAACGTTACAATGCTAACTGAGTCAACGGGAGAGTCGCGTTGCTGTTAGCCAATCAGAGATGATCGAGATGTCCGGAAATCAGGAAATAAGTCCAAATCATGTCGTCTGAAGCTACTTTCTCCACCAGCTGAGTTATTCGTGCTGATACAGGTGCATCTGAGCAGCCCCCACCGTTTATTCCTACAAGAAACCACTGCAAATACGAGTGAAGGACCTCTGTAAAATATGTCACACATGTTTTGTGTCGTTGCATTTCTCTTTGATGTCTGCTTGGAATGCAATTATTTTAGTTAGCAGCTAGCTGTCAGTGCAAACAAGATCTTCAAGGCTAACTGAAGTAAAACCTCTGAAAACCATTTCAGAATTCAAGTTATTTCATTAATGTCATAAACAAAATCAAAGCCTATTGAGTAAAAAACTGGATAATTAATAATTTGTAACAGAACATTACTTTTTTCTTTAGGAAAGAATTCACAGGTAATCATATCATCTAAATGTGTTACAATCGTGTAAAGGCTTAATTAGGATTTAGAGACGACTTGAAATGAAGGATTGTTGTCATCTAGTCAATACCACTGGCAGAAAGTCAAACCACCAATGCAGAGCAATGTTGACCTTTGCAACGGACCATTTTTACACCGTGCATGTGCTGTAGTTGTTGTGCACTCAGTTGTTCAGTAATGTTTTTTGCATTAATGTCGCCAGGTAGATTAGATCATGTGATGTGAGAATGAAACCAGGAAGGATGTTGGCGAAGCCTCCAAACACTGAAAGCCGACAACTTTGTTTAAAAAAGCTGTTTGAGGCACAGAAGTGCTTTTCACCATATGCCTGTATGAAAACTGTTAACGCTTACACACCAACAGCAATGTTGTAAGTGTACATGTATGTATACATGATGTACACTACTGTGTACATCATTCCAGTTTAGCACCTTAGCATGCTTGTGATCCATTTATTTAGCAGAGGGACACTTGTCACAACTCGCATGCTAACACATGGTATGGCATTGCATGGCTAAATAATAAGGCTTAAGCTGAAAAACTGAAAGCTTAAGAAGTGAATAAATTCATGAGGATTTAATTTCTTTCACTCTCACCCAGCCTTTTTACTGGACGCGTAAGTTATGCGTAATGTAGTCATGTTTAACTCGCGTGCACCATTCAAACCAGGAGCGAAAGCATTCCATGCAGCTGGTCCCACGAGGTCACAATATCATGGGAGAATTGGAACACCATGATTTTACAAGTTCACATGATAACAAGCATGGAGAAACTGGAACTCAGTACGTGACTTTTATTTTGACAGTTTCCAAATGTTTTATATGGTGTTTGTTTTTGACTTCCTTTCTGAACTCGATCTGAACTGTCGAGATTAAAACAGCGTCCTCAGCAATTTGGGTGCATCCCAGAAGTGTAAAGCTTGGTTTATGCTTGACGCATTCACTTTCCGCGCGGTGATGCGGCTCGCGGCTGGAACGCGCTTCACAACTCACAGCGTTTATGGTTCATGCGGCTTGTCTCTGCCGTGAGCCAATATTCTCCCAAACTGTAGGGGGCAGCATGGAGCTCTACAGCATGCATCCAACACTACACCATAGTAGAAGTAGAAATTACTGTTTACAACATGACATTTCAGCATTTTTAACAGCGTTCTCGTCTTTTCCGACATTGCGAGCTATTTCTCTCCAAGAATTATTAACAACATGTTGATCACGGTGATCTCTGAGAGCTGAATCATACAAATGTCTGTATTTACGAACCTCTGCCTTACTAGTTCTTGCCGGTCCGCCATGTTTTTCCGCGTCCGTCCGTCCACGTGGTTAGAAATTTTCCGAGGTGCACGTTGCGGAAATCTTGGGCCGTGCGGAGACGCGGTGGAGGGGTGTGAATGTTACAATGACGCAACTTTTCCGCGCGGAGCCGTGCGGACCTCGCGGACGCGTCAAGCATAAACCACCCTTAAGAAGTACGTTCCACTGACATTGCACAACGTTTACGTGTCCGGTGGAAAGGAGGGGTTACTCTGCAGTGCTCGCAACAACAAACCAAACTACTGAGGACAATCTTCTCCTGATAATTACATGTAGCATGTTTCTGGTGAATAAATCATTTTTTTCTGGGGAAACTGAGGCAACATGAATGTGCAAACACTAAAAAAACATAAAACGGGTGCAACCCAGCGTAGATCAAGTTTAGTTGGTTTCTTGGCAGCTACTGTTGGATTTGCAGATTAATTAATTAGTAATGTCAAATTCCACTTACGAATAACGTTAAAAAGAGCGAGTCATTGGTTCTCCAGTCAACCGTGAATAGATATACTCAAGATATTATCAGAACACCTGATGAAATCACTCGGCACTGCTACTTTCAGACATTCCACCTGAAGATGACTTCTCAATTCGGCGAACTATTGCAGCGTCTACTAAAGTATTGTACTGATTAGCTAAAGATATAACACACGTACTGCTGGAAAGTGCAGATAAGAAGCTTGGCACAAGGTTAGTTTTGTGTTTTGAAAGAAATACTTTAGATATACATGTAAACAAAGACTTTCCCGACCTAGCTGGAACCTTTCCCGAAAAAAAGGAAAGGTTTTGAAAAATAGAACACACCTGTACACAAATAGAAGCAAATATATAGAAAATACATTTACACGTGTAGAATTTACAGTAAGTTTCATTTAACCCTCTGACGAGTATGATAACACTCTTCATTCAAAAATAATGTATTTGTCTAAGAAGTAGTGTAGCCTGGCACACGTGAGGCTGAACGGGTATCGTTCATTCATGAGTGGTTTTCACGTTGTGAATGGGCCAAAGCAGGAGTTTTACACCACAGTGTTTATCCCAATCCTTCTTTTTAACACTTTGAGAACGGCACATTCGCATGTAGGCCATGTTCACACATGCATTTAGAGTCCATGTATGCTCCAGAGCTACTTCTGCTGTGTTTTTGATCTGAATTTCTAAGAAAAGGTGTTATTTTATTCACCCTCTTTTGCAAGAATTATTTCCAGATAAGAAAAATGTGTGTGCATTGGAGAGATTCTGTGGTGCATTTGCTGCAAGTGAGCAAAAGAGAGATTCTTTTCTGCTGACCTGGATGTTCCTTTCCACTCGTTCTTTGCTTTTCCATGCAGGAATGACAAGCACGAAAATGCTCAACTTGTAGCTTCATCCATCATTCTTAATGTGTTTCTAAAGAAAACGTATTGATTTCCACACAGTTCTCTGTGTATCACGTCCAGCCACTTGTGTGCTCTAGTAGGAAGCCTCTCCACTTCACCTCTATCTGTGAGAGCAAACATCCACAGGGAAAACTCTTCCGCTGTCAAATGCCGAGATGAACAGCCAGAGTGGAAAAAAATATCCAAACCAAACTCTTCTCCTAAACATCTTCAGTGTTCACGTGTGAGAAAGGCTAAACTGTTGGGACAACCTGTTTTGCTCATCCTTTTTAAGTCGAAGCACCACTTTACTGAATAACAAGTGGAAAAATTAATCGTAGACATCCAGTGAAACTGTACATATTGCTGTTTGCAGCCAGAAATGTTTACAAGTACAGAAATGTGTTTGTGCTTTGTACAAACCTACAGCTCAATGAAAGGTAGATTATTTGACAACTTCCACAAAAGCTTCGTAGCACAAAGGTTAATTGGAGCTTGAAGTTTCATAATAAAATCATTGGTACTAGAATCTTTTTCACCACAATGGACGTTTGGCTATTTCAACTAATATAAAGCAACACTAAAGAGTTTTTAACACATTCCGCTATCACTTTCAAAGTGGTTTCAGTTTGAGGCAGAAACTTTACCATTTTCTCACTGGACAGCATTCTGCTGCCTTCTGCTGACTAGAAACTGAGGTTTCTAACAGTTTTGTGGCACAGGTAAGTTCACAAGAGGCTGCTCTCTGCCTGCTTTGTGGCTGTTAGCTGTTTACACCATATTAGATATGAATATGTAGACAGGCACTGGAGTGCGTAACAGCCCTGCCTCCATACTGAATGGATTCCCTCACTCTCCAAACCCAACTGGACTGAACAGGGTGGGGCACTATGTACAGGCAACTTTTCTAGCCTACCTGCTGGGATTTTATATATTATTAAAATTTGATTTAAATATATTTGTATTTTGATTATCATGTCATACCATATGTCTGATTTTATGAAAGAGCATAGTAAAGTGTGTTGTTGGGTAAACAGTAGAAATAAAAGCACTGGGGACAAATGGGAACCCATCCAAGATGGCAGCCCACTGCTACAACAGCTCCAATAGGGAGCATAAGTCACTTCCGCATCATGGGCCCCCGGAAGAACGAAAAAATGAACGTATGTCAACGGGGCTAAAAATGCTATTTTTCTAATCCACTTTGCCTTACACCCTGGATCACGTTGTACTGCTATTTAAATGAAAACCAATGATGTGTATTTCGACCACATCAGTCACATACTTTGAGATTTATCAGCTTGTAAATGTTTGTAATTAGCATGACTACACACTAGAAATCGACACGTCGCATATGTGACGTCACCACATAATCTCCCCCCCTAGCGTAGCTGCTACTTACCAAATTACCAGATTTATGGTGGTTATTTCCTCCTGTGGGATGTTTGCTGAACTTACAGCCTTTCCCCTCTGTTTTCTCCGTGTCTGAATCGATGACGTCACTTTCGTAAAGCGCATTTGTAGTCCTGGACTTATTTTCACACAAAACCTAAAATAGCGTTTCCCCCCGCTCGAAAATAAGTGCGTTCTTGGTATCAAAATGTGTCTTTAAAATTCACAGACATCATACGTGAAATCCATGGCACAAAACAAGCGGAATTAGAAAACATCGTTTTAGCCCCATTGACTTGCATTCATTTTTTTCGTTCTTCCGGGGAACCATGATGTGGAAGTGACTTAGGCTCTCTATAGGCAGCGTCAATCCACGTCGTGTCTACGTATTTGATGTATGTGGTTTACTGTCCCGGTAGCTAATTTAAAGGCTAACAGTTAGCGTTTTCAGTTCGCTGATGGTCAATAAAAAGTGTAAGAAGAAGATTAAAAATAATTTTTTGTTGGCATCATGGTGAAGCCTGGAAGCAACAGTAAAAGAGTAATGTCTTAAGAGGTGTCGCAAAAAGCTTAAACCAGAGTGAACATCGGCGTGGCCAACACTGGTTTGAGGGAGCTGAAGGAGGCTACGAAGTCACCAGTGACCTGGCATTTTTGTTACTGGACTTGTAAATAATAATGTTTTTTATCCGATTGTAGATCTTGGTATTTTGTGGCTTGTTTGGTATCAGTTAGCACGCTAGTGTTAGCTCGTTGCTATAGGAGGTTGCAGCAGGGTCTTTTACAACGGTTGTAATTCCATTTTCAACCAGTAGGAGGGAAAAGCGGGGAAACTCTTTAGTGTTGCTTTAAAACTGTAGTTGGTAATTGTCTTGTCCTTTTTCCTCTTTAATGACTAAATAATGGGAACAAAATGCTTTTTAATATGTTTGTTGCCGCAGTTTAAACTAACTGTGCACATTCCCAACTTCCTGCCTGATGAAGCTGAAATTCTAATATGAATACTTGTGTTTGTATTGTTCTCAAGTGCAGAGTGAAACTGGTTCTGGAGAGAGCTGACCTTTACAGCACATTCCATAAGGGAATGCCTCCACATTTAGTCCCTGTAATTAGAAAAGAAAAGAAAAAACAATGAGATGAATCTCATTTAAGTCCTAAGAGATGCCTCAGTGGGACTTCCCCATCTCTACAGTAGACTCCTTTATAATCTTTGCAATACTTTTGAATTTAATTTAGAAAATTTATTTAAATTAAATTATAGATGTCTCGGCTGTCTAAACAGCTGATGTGTCAGTAATTATGAACTGTGCAGGAAAGCCAAACAGACCTGAATGTGTGCGAATGTGTCGTCATGCTCTAAGCAGTGTGTAGTTGCTGCTTTCATTCAAACTTTCCTTAAATGTCCTGCTGTGGGGTTTGTTAAAGCATGCCCTGCAGAAGCCTTCTGTATGTTTTCTGTTGACCTAAATCAGATTCAAGTGTCACAAAATGAGCAATTTACATGGAATTGACTTGCATTGTGTAGATGTTGTCAGGAATGGGTGGGGATATTTAAGTAACTCAAACAGTGGTCTCCGGTTACCCAGACATCCTCTGTTAGGGCTGTGGCAGGTTCTTCAGTGTACAAAAATAGACTTAAATATTCTGATTGTTAAAATGGGTCTAATATAAATTATTTTTTACCATCCAATAAAGCATTAACCACCTCTGATTTTCCATTATCGCTCTTCCAAAAGCTTATAGAATACTGATTTATATAAATATGTTTTAGATTCTTCTGCAACACATTTCTTAAAACTATTTGAAAACAATTCCAAATACATTAGTATTTTTTTTTTACATTTCAATAAAAATAAAATTAAAACAAAACAATGTAACAGGAGTTGATACAGGGTTAATATAACACTCTTGTTTGGTCCTTCGATTTTTGTAAAACTTCCATCTATCCATGTTGTGGCACATAGTGGCATTATTGGCACATTGTTCAGAAATAACTGTTCATCTTCCACCCAAAGCGGCTCCTTGGGCTCCTCATTTCACATCAGAAATGTTTTCCTTGAGACACCCGGGATGTCCACAGTCTTGTTCCATACATCCTTTAAATATATTCATATATACTCTATATCTAAATGAATGTAGATTTCCGGAGAGATGGAGAGGCAGCGTTTGCTGCTGCTCTGCTTGTAATCACTAAAAAAATAAATATCTTCACCAGCGTCTGAGATGTGATTACACTATTTTACAAAAGAAGCCGTTTTCTTGTTCCCAGACTGGATCCTGTGGGAATGAGAAGGAAACCCAGTTACTTTTTATTATCAGGCCAAAGCAACACAGTGTTTTTCAACTTAGCCTTCTTTTCTATCTACTTTTTTATTTAAAGGTGCAATATGTAAGAATAAAGGAAGGATGACATCCTGTGGTCAAATGTGGTTACTGCAGTTTGATCTTTAAGTAAAACATCACTCTCTTACTGCCATTCTGTGAGTGCCATGGCTGTTGCCAGTTCGGCTCAGCGCCAGCAGATTCTAGACGGTGAGTCATAAGAGTTCCACACACTTTCTGTCTACCTCTGCCACTTCCAAACATGTCCAGCAGAAGACAGGATCAGATTTAGCAAGTCACAAAATTATATACATATATTTACATTTACAGTATGTACATATATTTACGAAGATGTCATGACCAGAAGCCACAGTTCATGTGTGCCACGCCTCAAAGTAACACACAGAGGACCATTAGAGGCTTTATAAAGCCAGAGGGTGTCCTTCCTGACTTTGTCCAGCTGGAAGCAGCAACAAGCACACTCCCTAAAGAAGATAGTCTTCCCTGCCTGCTCCTAGAAAGCATTTACACATGATTTTGTGACTGGGTGAACTACGTGTGAGTGACTTTGTGAGTGGGTGATGTGGTTCGTATCTCAGCCTATGGGATGAGCTTGGTCTTGTTTTCTTCCTGACTCTCCTAGCTTACGGCGTGTAGCAGCGAGAGCCGACAGACCTCTGTAGGATTGCGCTCCGCACCTGCCTCAGATCGAAGGCGCAAAAGCGGCTTCATCTTGGCATGAATTATTTACCTTAACTGTCTTACTTTTACTTGGATATACCGTAAATCCTCTAATACAGGCCTGTATTCAATTAACGGCCGGGTCTCATATTTTGGCCGGTGTCGGCGGAGGTGAATAATGGCCAGTCTCTTATTGTGGCCGGGTGGAATGTGGTAACAAGCAAGTACGGGGAGCGGTTGTGTCATCGTCTCACTTTTGATTTGCCAGTGATAGACCGCGAGGGTAACATTAACCGTGCGGAGACGAAGAGGAGGCGAAAATTTTATATCAAGTTTAAAGAGAACGTGCGCTGCAGAACACTGGGGAGCAGTAGGGGTTGTATGAACTAGTCGACTTCACTATGGTGACTTTTTATGCCTGTCATCGACTAGTCGCTGTCACGTGATAATGACCGGCAAGATGCAGCCCTCGGAAAAGACAGCAGCCTGCTGTCAGCAGGTGACAAGCTCCTGCGCTCGGGGGGGCAACGCGCTGTGCCAGAGCGTCGGTACTGACACGCGATCGTTCATGTCGGTTCATTTCCTTTAATGTTTTCTGTCTTTTATTTGCGCCTGATGTGTTTCGCTGCTGTGGAGCGGGGCCCATCACCTTGTCCTCCGGTGACGCACCGATCACTGATGCGGCCGCCAAGCAGGGAGCACTCCTCTGTTTTTGCGGTCGGTAGATCTGCGTCCTGAGCACGGCCACAGTAACATTATCAAATCAGGTGTCGCCACCTCAAAAACTAATTTAACATGCGATCGTTCATGTCGGTTCATTTCCTTTAATGTTTTCAGTCTTTTATTTGCGCCTGATGCGTTTCGCTGTGGAGCGGGGCGCATCACCTTGTCATCCGGTGACGCACTGATCACTGATGCGGCCGCCAAGCAGCGCACACTCCGCTGTTTTAGCGGTCGGTAGATCTTTTAGAACTGCAGTTCAAAGGTAACTCATAAGGTGAATATATATGACCCCAGGTAGCAGTTTTTCTTTAGGATTGAGAGGAGATGCAGGAAGATAATAAATAGGCAGGACAGAAAAATAGTCAACTAAAAACAAGTTAGTTTTTGTACCTGGTGGTTGCAACAACCAGACACCATTGAAGGTAATCAGAAGTGAGGAACAGAAAATGAAATAATTATTTTAATGTTTAGAGCAGCAGGAACTCCGAGAGGCTGCAGGCGCATCAGTGAGTTTGCGGCCGCTGCGCAGGGGGAGGGGGGAGATGGCTGAAGCAGAAACTACCGTTGTTAAAAGAAATGTGTTTAACTTTGAAAATGTGGGCGCAATTTTAATTGTCAAAAACTCCAGCGAACCATTAGTTCATTTTGCTCAAATAGAAATAGAGGCCTGCCTCTAATTCTGGCCCCCTTCCAATAAAGGCCGGGAGCTCGATGAGCTTGAGTCAAATACAGGCCCGGGCCTGTATTAAAGAATTTACAGTATGTCAAATCACAATTGTAGTTTTAAGCCCCTTTTGTTGAAACAAGCTGAAACCATGACACTAAGTGGTTTCCTGGTTGCAAAATAACGGCAGAAATGCGACCAGCGCTCCATCATGCACCAGCATGTGGATTGACTCCAGAGAGTTAAATAAAAAATGCCGACATTGCAGCGTTAGCTCGCTGGAAACACGGCAACCCCGCAGACTCACTGATTGTAAACAGTGACTACGCTTGTCTTTTGTGTTTGTTGAAAGAAAAACTGACAATCCCCAGCACGCTGGGAAAGAAATCTGATTCAGTGTAACCTTCCAACACGATTGAGACATTAAACCATTTTGTGATTTATTTTTTTCACAGTAGAATTCTTACATATTGCTCCTTTAAGGGAGGCGGTATCCAAATGTGTCTGAAAAAGCAGGCAATCCATTTTTATAATGATGAAAGACAAAGGCAAAAAGTTGGAAGCTGTCTAAAAATCAATAAGGTAAAGGTTTATTACAGCATGCATTTAAACCTATCACAAACATGTAGATGGATGAGAGGATGCATTTGTTTCATGACTCCAGCTCTGACAGAATCTCCTCCAAAGCTGAAGTAAATAATGTGTGCAGACAACAGTTAGGCCCTGTCCTCTCAACATTACCTGCAAGCAATATTCCTTTGGAAAATCTGGGTCAATAGCAAATTATGTCTCCCCCTGGCTTTCACCAACACTGCAGGGCCAGAGCATGTGTTTAATGTTGACACTTTGAATTTCAAATGCTAGGCCATTTTGGCATATATTAGTCTGGCATATATTAGTCGTGCATAAAGAATGAGTGAAATGCCTTTTTGGTCCTCGAAATGTTCAGAACTCTATGCTTTTAATGTTTCATGACGGAAATAATTGTCACCATACAGAAGTGATATATTCATAATTAGGGTCTTGTCTGTGACAAAGACCTGAGATTCTGCTCTGAAATGTGTCTCCAAGCTTGTTTTCATCACTGCACGGAGTCGGGGGGAAAGAGCATATCCGTGTCACAAACAAAAAACATATGCCAAGTTCCTCTCTATTCCCAAAGTGGGGCAGCATCACCATGAGGATGGAGGTACCTAAGGCTCAGACGCTGATTCACAGGGAGGGGACAAAGTGGAGCGGTACTCACCGGAGCGTGAATTCAGGATGTATTTCCCTCAGAAGATGAAGAAAGTCTTCAGCTCGTCAACAAGAGATCTCGAACCATTTCTCCGACACGAAGGCCACAGGGATCAGTTGTCTTTCAGTGGGGGAGGGCCTGTTGGGTGAAATCAAATGAATTAGGCTGATTGAGGTGATGGTATTTGAAGAGCAGTACGTTTTTCCCCCTCCTGAGACTTTACGGGGAACATCCTCCACGGTCTAGTTACATCCCTAGTTACCCTTCAATGCCACAGTCAACACTGATGCTGTCCCATTCAGACACAAACATTGCTTCACTCACCAGTCGTGATTTCAACCTGCTCAAAACATCAGTAAAAATCTTTCATACTTTACAATTGGACACTGAATGCATCATCTCTGACACCCCTGCCAATTCACTGCAATGCATCTGTGACGGGGATGTAGGTGGCACCATCTCCGCCGGCCCTGTAGCTTAGATGGCCACATCTCTCTGCTCAATGAACACAGTCAATTCTCTATCAATTTACCATCAATCCCTCCACATAATGGCTACATGATTTCTGTCAGCACACCTGTCAGTTTAAAGGAGATGGAGGAGACACATCAGACGCCAAAGGAAAAAAGTTAACTCTTCTGCTTGTTGATTTGTTTTAAAGTTATACTACAGGGATAGGAAAATGAGTGTATGATGTTTGACACAGTAAGTTAAGAAGAGTTTAGGTAGATTCTGTAGGTGAGAGAAACAAAACAGGCAAATAGAAGAATCCATGATTTCAAATGAACTTGTGTTAGTTATAATATAAAATGAGATTTAAAATAGTATCCTACAGTAACAGGCATCGACTTGTCAACACATTGTACATTTTTAAAGACAAGCTGCATGTGCTAGTATCTTACTGAGCTTCGACCTTTGGTGGCAACAGTCTGAGGTGCCGTGAGCCGATAGGCAGGGCAGGCTTGCTTGGAGACCCCAGGAGCACAACAAACTCTAAACGGAGTCAGAACCGCAGCAGTAGTGAGACAGTGAAAAGTTGCCCTTTGACAGCAGTGTTGGGCGTCTCACACTCCCTGACAGAGCACTTCTTCTCCCTCCTGATGGCTGAGGAAGAGACCAGCCCCACACTTCCTTGCACACCCCAATCCTAAGCCTAAGCAAAGGATTAAAAAGCAACTAATTAATCATTTTAATTCTAATCAACTCTTACACCCCATGCAGCATGGCTTTAGGGCACATCATTCAACAGAAACGGCAACCGTTTACTTTGTCGAAAGGGTTAAGTCTATGATAGACAGAGGAGGAGTGGTTGGTGCAGTTTTTTTAGATCTACGAAAAGCATTTGACACTGTTAACCATGATATCCTCCAGTCTAAATTTGTTCAGTTCAATTTTCACAATTTACTTGCAGCTGGTTCAGATCATATCACACTAATCAAACTCAATGTGTCAAAATACAAAATAACATATCTTACATCTTGTTACAGGTGTACCACAGGGCTCAATCTTGGGTACAGTTCTATTCGGTCTTTACATTAACGACCTACCATCGGTGTGTCATGGTTGTGAAGTGCTTATGTATGCAGATGATACATGATTTTTGTTAAAGGTGATGATCATTTTGAGGCAGCTGCACAACTTACAAAGGTCATGGTAAATATCTCAAACTGGTTGAATAGCTGTCATTTACAACTAAATTTCTCTAAAACTGTAGCGATGTTTTTTACTTAAACAAAAAAAGGTTTATACAGAACCTAATGTTTTTTTTCTGGGAAGAGGATTCAAAATGTAAATGAATACACATATCTAGGTATTATTTTAGACAGTAACTTGACTTTTAAACATGTTAAAAAAGTAACCAAATGTATATATTCCACACTTGCAAATTTTAAGCTCCTCAGAAACCATATGTCAACAGAAGCTGCAAAAATGTACATGTTTGCTCTCATAATATCTCACATAAATTATTGTTTACCTGCTTGGGCCTCTGCAAACTCCACCACTTTAAGTAGGTTAAAATCTTTATATAAACAGGCTATCAAAATTCTAGATAAAAACCAAGATCCTTTCATCATTGCACAATCCTTAGTAAATATGGGCTCCAAAATAGGAGCAATCTAGTCATTTTTAAAAACTGTTGTCTTATGTACAAGATCAAAAACAGCTTAGCTCCACCTCCTCTTTGTAGCCTTGTAGAACCTGTTACACGTGTTACTCGAGGGGCTGCTGGAGTGGATTGTGTGATACCATGCAGGAAAAGTTCCTTTGGACAATCAGTTTTCACCTATGAGGCGGCTAGAGTCTGGAATACAATTAATCAAAACATGAGACTGTCATATACAGCACATTTAAAATACAATCAAATAAATTATTTATTGACACTCAAATTTGTCAGCACTATAATTTTAAGAATCAACGTATGAGTGTTATTGTTAGAGTGAATATGATTGATTTTGTATGTGTGTATGTGTGTGTGTGTGTGGGGGGGGGGGGGTATCTCTATGTAATGATGTTTTACTTGTATTGTTTTTAAAATGTTTATAACTTTAAATGTTGTTTTATACTATGTGCCAATCGGCAGGGGGACTACCAATGAAAATTAGCCTTTGAGCTATATTTGGGTACATTTACACACTGTCCCTCTACATCAAAAAAAAGTTATTCAATTATTAAATTCAAAGAAAACTGCTGTATGCTGCAGACAAGGAAGTGTGAGACCAGTTTTTGTGGAACTGAGGCTGGGGGAGGGTGGTTGGCACGACATGTTCTGATCTATGGAAGGGGAGACTGGGAGATGGTCAATTGACGCATTCACATCTGGATCGGCCCAGTCTAGCCCTGGGTAGTCTGTGCATTCTCCGTGGTCGGCCGACCGTTTTTTTTGGACCTGCTTCCTGGTGGTCAACATCGTGTAAAACTGACCCAACACACCCACCAGTGACTGATTGGTGGGCAGAAGTTCTACCTACCTAGTAGAGGAAGCCTGATTGGTGGCTGAAATTAGTCAGCAGTGGCTTCCCGCATATGTAATTCATTATCAGTCTGGATGCAGTGGAGTACTGGTGTGAGGAGCACACAGGGGAACATCATGGTGTGAATCAAGCCTGGCTGGGGGGGGGGGGGGGGGGATGTGAAATTGCCAAATATAAACCTGTTGACCTGGAGCCCCAAGCAATTGCATGCCTTGCCCACTGGCACACGAGACCTCTGTGCAATTTGACACAAACATTCAAATGACATCTACACCGTTGTTACAATATTCTTTTACTTTTTTCCACATTACCCCCAGGACCCAACCATATACTAAACTTGCTGCAAATGCGTTGTAGATACCAACCGAGTGTGATGTTTATTAAAAATCTGTTGCATCCCAGTGGGATTCGGTCTGGTCGTTTTTCAAGGGTATACAGTTGTTTCAATTAAATGCTAATAAATCAGATGCAGAATATTATGTGAAATTTCTTAGTAGAACTATGTATAATATCAGCTAGCAGACCAACTCTTCACGTCAATGCTATCCTTCTGAGCAGAGTGGGTAAAGGTAGAAAGAAAAAGCTTATATTTGACTGGAACTAAGCCTCAAATGCACCAGAATGAGGCTCAGACTGAATGAGATCCGAAGTTAGACACACAAATACCAACACTATGAACATTTGCTGACTGTAACATGAAAAGTCTCATTTAGTCAGTCCTCCACAGGTGTACCTGTTTCCGTTGTAGGCGGTTTTATAGACAGGTGTCTGCTGGATCATCTCATCAGTGTAGATGGGAACAGCAGTCCGAACGCACTCGTGTGAGCACTGAAGACTGTCGTTGTAGGCAGTGAATATGTCCACCTTGCTTGGCACGCGTGCCGGAGTGAAGTCTGTCAGGTTTTGGCAGCTTTCCTCCTGCTGGTGGATCTTTCTCTGATGGCTATTGTGGCGGCCATTTCCAGACTGTGCACAGCTACAAAAACACGCACCAAAGACATGAAGCAAACATAAAATCATACCTTGTACCTTTGGGCAAACTAATAGATTTCTATAAAATAATGGAACAAAGTTCTGCAGCTCAGAGTCAAAAGTAAAGGAATCTTTCCTACCAGTTTTTGAGGACGAGTGTTGTGATCAAGGCTGCGATAACCATGATGAGAGACACAGTGATTGTGATAATCTGGTGAACTGCCAAACCTGCAAAGAAACAAATATGAACGTTACAAAAACAGAATCTCCTTGCAGTTGCAGGGTTTCAAGGAGAGCTTGCTAAGAAAATGAAGGATTCCAGCAATTAAACGATTACATTTCAGAACAAAAATATCACCTTTTTGTGTAACTAAAGAAATTCAACCCAACTCAAATGCATTTTTCAGCAAGGGTTCCTCTCAGAGAACTAGTATGCTTTTGGATTTACGCTGAAAGTAAAATTTGCTCAAAGGTTTTAATTTCAGAATTAAATGGGAGCAATTGTTAATATGTCATATCAAATTAAAAATGTGATCAAAAGATTATCCTGCAAGGTAATCAGACTTCTTTGAAAATGAAGACAGATAGAGGCAGTACCAGAGAGACACTTTAACTGATCTGCTGGGCCTTTGAGGGGGAAATGGCAGAGGAACCTGTTTAAATGAGAAAAATCACCTCTGTGGAAATGGCAAACATCACAGAAGGTGTAGTTTCACATTCAGCTTCCAAAACAACATTGACATTCCTTTAGAGTTGTTTTTGTGCTCAGTGTGTCGAGATCTTCTTTTAGTTTTGTTTTGTATTCCTTAAATCACGAAGAGAATTTTCTCTATTTTGTTGCTAACTTTGTTTGTTTTTATTTTTTGAATGGGTATCACAAAGTCACTTCATTAGGGCCCGATCTGTGGAATAAGGTCATTAACGGTGAAGTCGGGTCTTTCCCATTGCTCATTGTACACATAAAAAAATAAATAAATAAATAAATAAAAGAAATTAGGAATGCTTTGCTTCACCTGTGATTATTCAAGGTTTCCACTAGCATTCTGATTATTCGTCTCTAAACCGAGAATCTAAGGCCTCCATCACACGGGATAAAGATCTAGCTCTGACAAAATTCTCTCAGAGCATGGGCTGTCTTACAGAGCCTTGGCAAAGTCTTAAGGTGCATATTAAGAACCCAGTGGGCTTCCTTATATCACATGATAGAGTGTGATAGGTTGAGAATTGTGAGCATGCATAAAAGTTCCATGATGAGATTGTGGAGGGTTATTATCATGGTGCCAAAGCTCTGAGGTCCTACGGGAAGTGTGGTAGCAGTTGCAGCATATTCATGAAGTAGGACACCTGTGCACTGGTGACTGGTCGCTCTGATGTAATGTCTAAGCCATGATCCCATGATGCCATCATCATCATCATCATCATCATCAGGCAAAGGTGGTGTGATGCATTTACATCCTGATACAATTTGAGAGTAGCAGTAAACTGGGGCCCAGGGAGCAAAGTAATCCTATGTAGGACCACCAAGGCAACAAGCGGCCAACACATGATGAAAATGCAGGAGAACATCCCAGAAAGCAGAATACTGAAAGTGTATCTATTGCATGATATTCATGAAGATTTTGAAAATCGAAGTTTCAGTGTTGCTACTGCTCATTTGAGCACTGGGGGTGCCCCCAAACTTGAACAGAAGCTTTGACATGTCCCAGAGAAGACCTGCAGGGACACTGCAAAGTACCCTAAAACCTGAAGGCTTTGGTAGATGACGCATACTTAAAGTGAAAGTTCCTTTGTGGACAATGTTGAGTTTAAAGATAAAGTTCAAGGACAAACTATTTTTTACTTGTTATTTTTTAAACTTGATTGGCCACTCTAAGTTTAACAGGCAAGCTAAATTTGAAAAATTTCTTCTACCCCTTTTCCTGCATTAATTGCTGATAGAAAGTAGACAGGGAAATGTGCAGATTTGAAAATCCAATCAACTGAAAGTCATATTTGTTGATTTAGCGTCCAGGAGAGAGGAGAGTCTATCTCGACTAGTAGAAGCTACCGTTAGCATTAGCAACTCCAAAACATAGCACACCTCCTTCAGGTTTGTGTTGTTTGACATTGCAGAACAATCACTGTCAGAGGTGGAGTCGTGTTGTTGTTAGCCAATCAGAGACGAGATGTCTGAATATTAGGACATAATCCTGTTGTGTTCTGCTCACCACTCCTCTGGCTCACTTCTAGTTCCTGAAACAGGAATGCCAGATCTTTTTGCCCACATAGATCATCTCACAAGGCATTCATTTATACTACAGTCTAGGGGTAGATCGATATTTCGGTCGCCTGATATTTCAGGCCAATATTCCTCCTTAAAGACAATTTTTAATTTTATTTAGCAGTTTTGAATATTTACTATGTGGTTGGTTTACTGACTTTTTTATTTAGTTAGAAGTCTGATTTTACCACAAAATTAAGAGTTAACAGTTGGTTTAATTCAGTTTTCAAAAACGAATTCAACTTCTGGAAGTTTGCATCAACCGATCTTATTAGTGACATTTTAGCACGAAAATAAGGTGGAAATGTCTAGAAATGGACCAAAGAGCGAACTTGGTCTTTAAAGGATTAAATACACGATGTATGCTAAAAAGGCTACTAACAACAACCATAAAATTACTTCCTGTAGAATTATGTAAACGCTCTCATTCATTTGACGAAGGACTACCAATCCGATCAAGCTCCATCTAATCAGTCAAACTAGTGAAAAGCATTTAATCATCATTTCACACCCTAAATCTTTCTTTATATGTCTATTCTGGTAAACCGAACAATGAATAGCTCAATGAATATTTATTATATTCAAATAGAACAATTTAACCTGTTTCTTATACAAGACAAATATGCAACATGGAGAATAAATGAGAGGGGAAACCGATGCTCTCATTTACATTCTCAAGACTCTTGTGTGTGCTGATCTCCCCATTTTTAATCAAAGACAGTAATCCACAAACAGAACAGTGTAGTACATGTCTAAAGCCAGGATTAGTTTGAGTCTACTGAACCATGAATTAAAGTGTGTTTGAGTAGATGAGCCTGAGAGTAAACGGGACGACTGGCACACGGCAGGGGGACAAAATAAGGAAACAAATGAATAAATTATAGAAACACTGTTTTGATTTAAATGATGATGCAAGCTATATAGGTGAGGGATCAGACAAAGAGCTCCACGAAGACCTCTTATGATGAATTATATAAATGGAAACCGTGTTCCTTTGCCCGGACGTGGGTCACCGGGGCCCCCCTCTGGAGCCAGGCCTGGAGGTGGGGCACGTTAGCGAGCGCCTGGTGGCCAGGCTTTCACCCATGGAGCCCGGCCGGGCACAGCCCAAAGAGAAAATGTGGGTCCCCCTTCCCGTGGGCTGACCACTCGTGGGAGGGGCCAAAGGGGTCGGGTGCAGTGTGTGACGGGTGGTAGTCGAGGGCATGGACCTTGGCGGTCTGATCCTCGGCTACAGAAGCTGGCTCTTGGCACATGGAATGTCACCTCTCTGGTGGGGAAGGAGCCTCAGTTGGTGTGTGAGGTTGAGAGGTTCCGACTAGATATAGTCGGACTCACCTCAACGCATGGCTCTGGCTCTGCAACCAGTTTCCTTGAGAGGGGTTGGACTTTCTACCACTCTGGAGTTGCTCCCACTGAGAGGCGCCGAACAGGGGTGGGCATACTAGTTGCCCCCCATCTTGGTACCTGTACGTTGGGGTTTACCCCAGTGAATGAGAGGGTAGCCTCCCTCCGCCTACGTGTGGGGTGATGGGTTCTGACTGTGGTCTATGCTTATGCACCAAACTACAGTTCAGACTACCCACCCATTTTGGAGACCTTGGAGGGGGTGCTGGAAAGTGCTCCTTCTGGTGACTCCCTCGTTGTGCTGGGGGACTTTAATGGTCACATGGGCAATGACAGTGAGAACTGGAGAGGTGTGGTTGTGAGGAACGGCCCCCCTGATCTGAATTCGAGTAGTGTTTTGTTATTGGACTTGTGTGCCAGTCATGGATTGTCCAAAATGAACACCATGTTCAGACATAAAGGTGTCCATATGTGCTCTTGGCACCAGGATACCTTAGGCCGCAGCTCGATGATTGACTTTGTTGTTGTTTCATCTGACCTGCGGCTTCATGTCTTGGACACTCGGGTGAAGAGAGGGGCGGAGCTGTCAACTGACTGTGGTGAGTTGGCTCAGATGGTGGGGGAGGATCCTGGTCAGACCAGGCAGGCCCAAACGTATCGCGAGGGTCATCTGAGAACGGCTGGCAGAGTCTCCTGTCAGAAGGAGCTTCAATTCCCACCTCTGACAGAACTTCCAAAATGTTCCGGGGAAGGTGGGGGACATTGAGTCTGAATGGACCCTGTTCCGTGCCTCCACTGTTGAGGCGGCCGAATGGAGCTGTGGTCGCAGGATCATCGGTGCCTGTCGTGGTGGCAACCCCCGAACCCGCTGGTGGACACCGGCGGTTAGGAATGCTGTCAAGCTGAAGAAAGAGTCCTATGAGGTCTTTTTGGCCTGTGGGACTCCAGAGGCAGCTGACGGGTACCGGCAGTCCAAGCGGAACACAGCTCTGGTGGTCGCCAAGGCAAAAACCTTGGCATGGGAGAAGTTCGGTGAGACCATGGAGAAAGACTTCCGTACAGCTTTGAGGAAATTCCAGTCCACCATACGAGTGCCTCAGGTGGAAAAAGCAGTGCGTTACCAACACTATCTATAGTGGGGACGGTGTGCTGCTGACCTCTACTCAGGACGTTGTGGATCGGTGGGCAGAACACTTCGAAGACCTCTTCAATCCCACCAACATGTCTCCCAGTGAGGAAGCAGAGTCTGGGGACTTTGGGTTGGCCTCTCAAATCTCTGGTGCTAAGGTCCCTAAGGTGGTTAAAAAGCTCCTCTGTGGCAAGGCTCCAGGGGTGGATGTGATGCGCCCGGAGTTCCTTAAGGCTCTGGATGTTGTGGGGCTGTGTTGGCTGACGCGGCTCTGCAATATTGCGTGGACATCGGGGGCAGTCCCACTGGACTGGCAGACCAGGGTGGTGGCCCCCTTATTTAAAAAAGGGAGCCGCAGGGTGTGTTCCAACTACAGGGGGATCACACTCCTGAGCCTTCCTGGTAAGGTCTATTCAGGGGTTCTGGAGAGGAGGGTCTGTCGGATTGTTGAACCTCAGATTCAGGAGGAGCAATGTGGTTTTCGTCCTGGCC